CGTTGTCATCATTGACAGAAACAACTACTGCAGATACGACAGCAATGTCAACAATATGAACAGCGTTGTCATTGACAGAAACAACTACGACAACAATGTCAACAACATCAACAACGTCATTTTTTAGAAAAGCAACGACTTCAACAATTATGACATCAACAAAAAACGATGTCAGAATCAAACAGCAACAAAATCAACAATGTCATCTATAAAGATATCAACAGCAGCAGCAACTTTAGCATTATCATTACCATCTTCAAAAGCAAGACATAAGTCGCTGTCCTTTTTTTTTCTAAAAAATTAACAGGTGTTTTCAAAAACTCCATGAATCACTCCCGCTACTGGGCCCTTTATACTAACTAAAATAAGACGCTATTTTCTGCTCTCTCACAGCTCTTAATAAAACCATTATSAYTGCTTTGGCCAAGACAATARTCTSTATTTTTATACTTCTTGCTTTAGTCTCACTCTTAGTTGAGACAACCATTTCCAGCGGTGCTGCTAAGTGATCTTTTTTCTGTTTAAAGCTGTTTTTTTTAGCGTAGAATTAAGTCTTTTTTGTTGTTGTTGTTTTAGGTTTGCGGTATTCCTGCTGTATCTATGCACGGCGATAAAGAACAAAAAGAACGCTTTGAAATATTACAGTCATTCATAGAGCGAAAGTATCCAGTAATTGTATGCACTGGYGTCCTTGGCAGGGGTGTTGACTTATTAAATGTTAAGCAAGTAAGTACCCGGTTGTTAGCGCCTTCAAAACTAGCCTTGAAACTCAGATGAGAACGGACGTAGTGGGCATTTAAAGGCCCACGTGTATCCATGAACCTTTGCGAGCGTTTCTTTTGTTTCACAAATGATCTTGATGTTGAAAGGTGCTTTCTGAATGGTTGACAATCAAAATTGATGAATTTTGGTATGTGGGAAAATCGCGCAAAGGCTTTAGGATGCGCGTGGGCCTTGAAAAGTCCTCTCCCCTGCAAACATCGACCACATTGGCGTTCTCAAAACAAGAATCGTTGTTTAAATCGAAAAGGTGTTTGTAGTTTGGATTTAGACTCATAATTGTGGTTTCAGAATCGTCGTTCTCTATGATCGTGGTACATTCGAGTGTAATTCTAGAATACTCCAGAACTTCGAGATCTTATTTGTGCAGGCTTAACCTCGAAAGCATGTAATGTATCGGATGCTTTTATTCAGCAGAGATCCTATTGTTATGCAAATACTCTGTGTACAAAGAAGACAATAAAAATTTATGCTTGATTGAAGCTAAGCTTGCACAAAAGAGAATACGAAACTGGAGTATTGATGACTGTGTAAGCTGTATGTTTGCAGACCAAAAAAATTAAGGTAGGAAGTATGACATCAATTTCTTATATATTATAATTCACCGTTTTCATACCATTGTGTAGGTCATCAACTTTGACATGCCATCGACAATAGAAGACTATATACATCAAGTTGGCAGAGCAGGWAGATTGGGAACAAGTGGTGTTGCTATGACATTCATCAACAACAACAACAAGAGTTTGTTTTTGGACTTGGTAGAAACGCTATCGCCATTGGGCGTTTCTTTGCCCAGCGAGTTAACTAACTCTTCTTATATTAAGCAACTCAAGTATCAAAGAAAGCAGGGGTTCAAGAGAAAAAGGGACGAAGTTGTTGATCAAGGTGG